GTTCGGTCGGTTTCGATCTATATCGTGCAATCTGATAATCGTGATAAAGTACAGCGTGTTGTCTCGTAGAGTGCAACGTCTTGTATTATAAAGTACAACGGGTTGATCTATAAAGTGCATTACTGAATTTTTATAAGTATAAAAATAATAAAAATAATTTTTTAAATGAATTATACTGAACCAACCGAACTTTTTTTGTCCCAAATCGAGTTGGAAATTAACATAATCATTTATTCAGTTCGGTTAGCCGAATTATATTAAACAATCGAAATAATTTGTTATTTATAATAAATTTATTTTCAATATGATAATTCTTTATTTATTATTTTTATATTATTTGTGGTTGAAAAAATTCGAGTTCGGTCGGTTTCGATCTATATCGTGTAATCTGATAATCGTGATAAAGTACAACGTGTTGTTTTGTAAAGTGCAATGTGTTGTATTATAAAGTGCAATGTGTTGATCTATAAAGTGCATTATGGAGTTTTTATAAGTATAAAAATAATAATTAAAATGAATTATAAAATTTTGAACAAAAAATGTTAGTTGGTTTATTTAATATTGTGCAATCATGTAGTCATTAACGTGCAATCCATACAATTATATTGTGCACTTGCAATACATAAAAATATATAAATCATAATAATAATATTTTTCATATATCTCGTCTCTTTCATTTTTGGACCGAAATAATCAAAATATACAAATCTTAAAATTATCAAATAACTTTATTTCAGTTGAAATTATCAAAGTCAAATAACTTAAATTTTAAAAATAATCGAAATGTATACGAACAAACAGAAAATTATAGTTATTTCAGTTTTGATCGCTAATGTGCAATCTGACACACATAAATGTGCAATATGTCTATCACTAATGTGCAATATTTTTATTCGCTGATGTGCGATCTGTCATACATTTGAACTTTCTACCCTATACATTTAAACAAAATGTAATCTTTCTAACAATAGAAAACAAAATTGCTACATCTACCACGTGAAATTTCTACATGGGTTGTGGTTTAAATGAAAGAAATATAATAAACCCTTTTTCCCATTCAAGTTGCAAAACCATCAAAACCCTTTGTTTTGTAGACGCTATTTATTTAACATATACTCCCTCCTATTCATAATAAGTGTCGTTTTAAGAAGTTGCACAGTAATTAAGGATATTTTTCTTGTCAATAATAACCCTCTTTAATGAAGATAGAGAATGATGTTTTGGGAAAAAAATGAAGAGTGAATATGAAAAGACATAGTGTATTTAATAGCTAAATGAGAGTAATAATGGAAAAATATGTACAAAAGATCTGAAACGACATTTATTTGGATAATAGTTAATAAAACCAAAATCTATATATATATAATAAGAATTAACATTTTTCAAAAATAGTAAGCAAAAAAGTAGGGAATATTAATTGCATTATATTTTTGGTATATTTTTTTAATTTTTTTAATAAAAAATTAAGTAGCATTTAATGCTAGCATAAATCGTGAGATTTGTTATATAGATGCATATTTAAATTTCAAACTTCAAACAAAACATGCCTAAATGTATTTTAAATTTTTTAGGGGAAAAATTTAACAAACACGTTAAAGATTTCATACAATACATATATTTATATATATTATCTTAACATATAGGTTAATTAGTTTCATATCTAAACAATATATATTTAATCAATATATAAACAAATATAATAATTTATCGTACAATACAGGCAAATATATAAACAATATATTTATATACAAATATAATAAACAAATATAATAAACAATACAAACAATATATAAATAAATATAATAACTTGTCACGTGTATATTTCGTACAATACATATATTTATATATATATTTTCTTAACACATAAGTTAATTAGTTTCATATCTAAACAATATATATTTTAGGAACTTAAAGATTCATAACATTACTGACGTCATGTATATTTATAATATATTGTTACATACATTTTACTACAATTGGTAACTTTTTTAAAATTATTTGATAATTGGAGGTTGATTTGTAATTTGAATTTCAAATTCATTCAAACATTTAAAGGAAAATATCATAAGCATATTTTTTTGATACATTTCATTTTATCTCAATTTACATATAATCATTTCCGAATGATTTGTTTATCATAACATCAGACAGAATTAGAATTCAATTATGATTCGAATTTATATCAAGGATGTTTAATAATTGTATAGAATTTCAAAGATGTTTATTTATTATAAAAATAAATAAATTCTAAAGAAATATTTGTGTATATTTTGTAAAATGTTTGTACAAAATGTTTTACTTAAAATTTATTTACATAATTTAAATTAATTACATTAATAAATAATATGAACATACACTAAATATTTTAATTATATAAAACAAAAAGAAGAAGAAGACTACATCTATAACTTGCATAAATAATAATAATGAAATTATATTACAATAAATTTTATAATAAAATAATATGAGTATTATACGAGGAACAAGATTACGTAAAATTGTTATTTTTCTTATATCAAGGAATATATATATATATATATATATATATATAAAATTTATATTATTATAAACATGTGAGCGAGATAATATATTAATTAATT